AGCTGGCAGGGTGTGCACCTCCGCAGTTCGCACGTATTGCTTTGCTTATTTTTTTCCCTTCTGGGCAGTCACGTGATTTATGGTTTCTTGCACATTTTACACATTTATATATTCTATTGTGTTGTTCTTTTTGCTTCACCAGGTTACGCTTAACATAAACACTTTATTTCACCTTCTTTACATGTACTAACAGTTAATCTTCAATACACGTGCTTCGTCTCTCTAGGCATCTGCACCTTCGAATACCACGTGCCTCGGAGAAACAAAAACCACTCACACCGCTCGCTCGTACCAACCTACCATCTATTCACTTATACCAACTTAACTTATATTCACTCATACCAACCAAGCATTCACTCACTCGTACCAACCCTCAGGAATTATTCATTCACTCAATATATTGCAATAATTTTTTGTATGTCCGTGCATTTGGTATCTCACACACTGAGGAATATCCCTTGTCTAGCGTGGGTGTTCTATTTTAACGATTGTGCTAAGTAGTTTATTAATTTCATGAACATGCTTGTTATTGTTGGCCTTCTGTATTTCAATGGAAAACATTGGGAGTGGGTATCCTGTCCGTTTGCTTTTAATATTACTTACGTGTAGTGCTTTATGTCGTTTTTCCTCTAGTGCTTCTTTGATGTCTTCAGTCGGAGTGGTGTGATGTAGACCTTTGATTGTTGCTTTATATCTTTTAGTTTCTTTCGTTTGGTAGGTGAAATAACTTGCGTTTTTCTCTCGTAGTATTTTCATTGTTTCCTTGTATGTTTCAGCATTTACAGTTTGGATTTTTGTTTTACCGTCTGTGGTTCTCAGTGTGTATGAATTTTTTTCCAAGTTGCTTTTTAATATTTCCATTAGCTGTTGGATAACATTTATTTCTATAAATATGGGTGGTGGCTTTCTCTGTGGTTCATTTTCTTCTTCTCCTTGCTCATTTAATATCTGACATCTGTTTGCTGTCGTCGGTGTTGCAAGCGACTTGGTTCTATCGTTTTCCGAATCTGTTCCTGCTATATCAGTTACTGGGATTTTTCTCTTCTTAGTTGGTCTAGTAGATCTAGGTGCAATGAAACCATCATCTTCTGAACTTATGACGTCTTTGTTATTTCGTTTCCTGTATACAGTAGTGCTTCTTCCTGCCGTTTCATCTTCCTTTTGTAGTGTTCTCTCCTTTTTGCTATCGCTTCTTGCTAACTCAGTTATTTCCATTGGTTCTTCACTTTTATTTTCAGTGTTATTTCCTTGGTGTTTATCGGAAATAACATATATTTATTCCCGCTTTTAGCCAATTTGATTTATACTTTATCTGTTTTTTGTGCCATTTCGGCGGTTGACACTGTCGAATAGATAGTATTCACCGTTTCTTGCGTAGTCTGTTGTCGTCGGATACACATACACACCGCAAATTAAGGTAGACACGTCTTACCCGTTCGACGGTTCGATCGCGACTTCAAGAAGCAAAGTGAAATTACTCGTTAATTATTAGGTTTACGGCTAATAAAGGTCAGTACTTTTTTACTAAAAATTTAACGCTCTTCCATATTTGGCAAGCATAAAAAATATAGCATTTCATTTAAAAACACGAAGTTGACATTCGAATCTCCGAGACGCCTCCACTTTCCCAAAAAAAAGTTATTTGGGGTGAGCAAGTAGCGTGAACCATCCTGTATATACTATACAGGGTGTAACAAAAGTGTCGTAGGTCCCTGAAATGATTCACTCCTGGGGTGATTTGAAACTCGTTTTTCCTTAGCATAAATGTTATCCGAGGCTTTGTTAACGAGATATTAACAAACAAACCCTTTCTAATGTGGCTGACACCGTACCGATATTATCCATGCCATTACTCCAAGTTTGAATACAGTATAGATACATATCAAAAACGTGGGTATCAAAAAGAATCAATACTTCTTTGATACCTACCCGAAAGTACCGATACATGTTTCATACCTACATGAGAGTATCGATACCTATTTGATATCTACTAGTAAAGTGAATACTTTTCGGCTAGGCGTATATTGCGAGCAGGCGAGCGTCGAGCATTAAACGTCGAGTGTATTCGTGTAAATTGAGGAATGGGTGTATGTGTATCGCCAACACAGTGATAACATACATTCTTGTCGACCCTATATTCAGTCACACTCCATGTCGTTCAACACTCGGCGGCTCGAATAAACACGCTGCAAATAAGTATCAATACTTTCATGAGGTTTCAAACAGGTTTCGATTCGGTGCCATATCGATTCAAAAAGAATCGGTATTGATACTTGATACCAAATACCCAAAGTTTTGATACGTATCGATACTTCCCATTGAGCACTGTGGGTATTAAATCGATCGAATCACTAACACCGACCAATCAGACCCCGGCCTGTAGACTCGCGTTCTGATTGGTCGGGGTTTTTTGTTAATATCTCGTTAACAAAGCCTCGGATAACATTTTTGCTAAGGAAAAACTTGTTCTATATCAGCTCACGAGTGACCCATTTCAGGGACATACAACACTTTTGTTACACCCTGTATATTAAAACAAGTGACTAAACTTACGTGACATAGAACTATAATTATACTACATAAAACAATGACAATTAAACTAGATACAACTATGACTATAACTAACAATAAATGACTACTCTAACAACTATCCCTCTCCCCCCCCCCACCCTCTCATTGTCTCTACGACACGACAACTCTACTTTTACTTACTCACAACAACAATACTTTATCCCAACGACTCCCTTTTTAGGGAACATCCCTTGCCTGACTTTCTGTTATTCCCACCACACTTGCGCTCGTGAAAACGTCGCTAACGCGTCAGTGGGCCGTTCATCACCAAGGGTTCGCTGATGGGCCTGGCTTTCGTCTCCGCCAATCATCGCTCTCTCTTTTATTACCCTCTTTTCCTTAAGGCTATGCTCTCTTAAAACTAACTCAGAGTTCACCTAAGTTTACGATACTGCAGTATGTTTAAGCTAAATGGAATTTAAAAAGTTAGAATCTAAAAAATTACTTTCCATAAAGTCAATTTAGCAGATTGATTGGATATTTATATTATTTTATAAGATTTGACCAACAGGCCTGTCCGTTACTTATCAGTTTTTACTCGTTGTGAGCACGGAAGCATGTGCGGTATCATTTATTTAACGTCAATCACTTAACTGTTACTTTAAAAGAAACATTTGTGTTAAGTGTTTAATGTCGTAGTAAAGTCTATAATACAGTAAAGTCGCTTTAACTGCGCGAAAAGGCCTCTACGTTAATTTTCCACGCGTCATTCCCATCACTGGGGGGATTCCTCCTGGAACCAGTCAAGTGTATAATTTAGTACACCAGCGGCTTTCCCTTCACGAGCTGACGGCTGAACGAAGGGTGTCCAAAAAAGATTAAACGCCGGCGTGTCGGCGAGATAACATTACTGCGACTTTTGGCTGCCTCGACCCTCAGCTTCTCTTTCTTTCTCATTCGATGCCCTTTTCTGCGACCGTCGCTGCTGGCATTACATTGTATTTACATGCTTACTGCGCGCATGTAGTCCCGAGGTTGGCACAGTTAACGAGACTTTACTATAATGCCATAACATAGTTTACACAAGGTATATCATAACATGTGAGACCTACTTCAAGAGTAAACAGGAGACACAAAAACCATTAAAAGTTTCATATGAATATGTGCCCCATTTCACTTTGTTTGAAAGTTACAGCCATTTATGTTTCAATAATCCATAACTGCTTACCTTCATACAAGTTGCTCGAAAGGGCCGTATGAAATGGTTATATCAAAGACTTTCGCATTCTATTGGCAGCTTTGTTGTACACGTGCATGAAGTACTTTATTACTGGCAATGGGTGTCGAATAAGCAATTGTTTCCAAGTGACCCCAGATATGAAAATCTCATGGTTTGTTGTAAAATAATTAATAATACTGATCAACACGTAAAATATCTCATAACCGTTCAGAAGCGTTTCTGATAGATTTTTATGAGCTGAATACGAATCTGCAAACCGCAGAATACAAATCTGCGCGTGTTTAGCGCTTCCGTTAGGCTTACTGTCCACTAAGGCGTCTCGTCATAGATGCTTTATAGACATTTGACGCTTGCGGAACGTTTGCATGTAGCGACCAATGTAAAACAATGGACGTGTGTCCACATATGCTTCAGCGTTGTGTTTTCGTCGATGCATGCATTCGGCATTAAGCGCGTCGTCACCGATGTCTGCCGCTGAGCGTATAGAAGGACCCAAAAGTTTCATTTGTGTTTAAGTGTGAAATATGTCGGCTGTGAAATTCGTACAGATTGTGGAAAAGTTACCCGTGAAATATAAAAAAAATAGAAAAAATAGAAAAAATACCCATGTTTGTACATGGTTAACACAACATCGCATTTTAGTATTTTGTTTTTTGATTCGCGGAGCTACCAAACGCCCTAAATTCTTGCACGTATTCTTATTAATTCTATAGAAAGGATGAAATACATGATCATTTATGTTCTATTCTATGTAAGGATGTAACCAATATGTTTTCCGACTTGTACACCGTCGAATATAATTAGGGGAAAGGTGTCTAAAACGATCCCTCTAAGGCGTAATTCATATAAAAAATACAAATGCTCATTATTTAAATAAAAGTAAAGTAGTTTTTGGAAGTTAGTCTATTTATCTTGTCATTGGCTTAAATAAAATGTAGCTACCTGATCAATTATATGTTTTATTTACATTTCTCTGAAGACATGCTTAAGGATCATTTTGTACATGTATGTGTATAAAATGATCCCCGGGGATCATTTTATACCTACTGATAGTAAATAAGACGAACATTAAAAAGCATCTCATTTATTACATTTTATTTAAATAAAAACAGGAATTAAACTCAATTATAAAATATACGAACATAAAATAATCTCATAAAAAAATAAAAACATAGATAATTTTTGGTACATAATAACTGAGTAGAAATACTTAAAATAAACCAATAAACATAAGAAAATGAGATCAGTTTCACAGACGCAAAGTTTTTCGTGCACCAGCGAAGCGATCCTGGAGGCAGAAATCGCAGGTAAAGTCATCAGCGTCATTGTTGTTGTCTATCCCAACGCAATCATCATGCCCCCACTTCAAGCAGACACAACATCTTATCCACCCTTCACCTCCCTTGTCTCTCGAATATTTCTCATTACAGAACAGACATTCTGTGTCATCTTCGTCTGAAGACGATTCCGATATTTGGTGCCTATTTTCTTTACTATTTCTTTTTTGGTTGATCCCTTTCTTCCTTCCTTTCCCTTTTCCTTTTTGGGAGATAGTAGAAATCTTTGCTTTCTTTTCCTGGCGTAAAGCTCGTTTCCGTTCCAAATTAGTTTTCTTTTTTCTTTCCTCTTCCAATTGATTTTTGTAGGGAATGCTAGTTAGTATTGATGCGTTACCTCGTACTCTCCTAGAGTGACTTCTTTTCCCTGATATTCTTGGCATTGGTTGAATATTGCTTGGAGTGAAATTAGCGAAAGAAGTTGATGGAATCGGTGACATGGGATTATGCATAGTTATTGTGGAGGGTGAAGTTGTAATGATAGAGAGCGATGGTGAATTATTTTGTTCTGCATATGTGGGTGATGGTGTAGCTTGACGAGATAGTTGCATAATTGTATCCTGCGGGAAGGAATGGAAAGCAATAGGTAAAGCCGGAGGCTGTATCGTATTAGATACTGAACCAATATAAGGAGTTGGTTTTGAAGTGTCAGATTCCATAGACTGTTCAGTCGTTTCAGCAGCAATGAAGTCGACATTAGAGAAAACATCGGGGTTATACGGAAATATACCACATTTTGAAAATCCATTAATGGCATTTAAAGGAACTGCAGCTTTCAGGTAAGATTCAGCAAAAATTTTGCTTATTTGGAAAACTGTGACCACTCTTCCAGGATTATTATTCATCCACTTCTCTAAAGCCTGGTTATGGTATACGCTTAATGGATACATCACCCCAACGTCCAGCGGTTGGAGTTTGTGCGTGCAGTGTGGTGGCAGACATAAAATAGTGACATTATGTTGTCTTGCTTTTAATATGACGCCTAAGTTTTTGGTGTGTGAAAGGTGACCGTCCAATATTAAAAGTGCGGGATCTTCGGCAGACGGTTTTGCGTGGGTCAAAAAATGTTCAAACCACTGTGCGAACACTTCCAATTTCATCCAGCCTGACGCATTGCATGCATAAGCAGACCCTGGAGGTGCACCATCCATTAGTTCAGTTTTCATCCGAACTCTGCGAAAAATTAGCATTGGTGGTATGAAGTTGCCAGAAGCTGACATGCACAGAACTGCAGTTGTTGTATCGCCTCTTTCAGATGACGTTACTCTTGCCACCTGCTTACGACCCGTTTTTGCGAACACTTTTGTATTTTTCGTAGGAACAGTGCTTAAACTAGTCTCATCAACATTAAAAATGCGATGTGAAGGGAATGAATGTTCTTCTTGAATGTTTTTCAACGTAAGGAAAAATGTATCAACAACTGGCTTGTTAAAAGCACGCGCTCGCGCAGCCGATGTTGATTCGGGAGTGCGGAGACTGATATTAGGATTTCGTTTGCGGAATCCTCTTAGCCAGTCAATACCGGCTTTACCCTTTTCCGTAGAAAAGGGGTGTTTTATTTTATTTTTCTCAGCCAATTGATACGCGAGAGAAAGGATGTCTCGAGTCGTCAAACCATACATTCTGGACTCCATATCCTGTATGTGTTGAACAAGTTCGTGTTCTTGTTCCTGTGTAAAAACTGTACGCTTGCTCCCCAGAAGCTTTATTGAACCTATAGCATGGATATTTTTTCCTTTGGCTCTTCTTTTCAGAGTCATCACTGGTATAGAGAATTGTTTACTTGCTGTTTTATAAGGCAAACCTTGTTCAACAGCTTCTAGAGCACTTGTCATTGAAGCTTCGCTCCAGCTTTGACGCATTGTTTTTCTTTTATACTGACGGGGCATTGCTGTAACTAAAACAAAAAACAATAACATAGCATATGGGTAAAATGATTCCTGGGATCATTTTACCATACTAGAGAGGGATCATTTGACCCCAAACAACCAACTCACATTCAGTGGTTGATTATAACCTCAACTTATTACATGCGGCAACGAAACACTAATTAACTTATTATTGAATTGTGGCTAAATCCGCGAAAAAATCAGCTGTCACAATAAACCGTTTAGGACAAAAGTTACACAACATTGAAAAATACCTTACCTTACATGACTTGCAGTAATTTTAAAATTTTCTTGTGCACAACAAACAGAACACTGGTATGTACGCGGAATTTTAGGGGACGACTAGCGACACCCGCGGAGAACTATTGTAAAACAATATTACGATATAGCACCACTAATAGCCACAGAACAGCCAGGGATCATTTCACCTCGAGGGATCGTTTTAGACACCTTTCCCCTATATAAGGCGATAACGTTCTTTTCGTCGCTCGACATCTTTGCGAATAAGGAATATGAAGCCTTTTGTAAGCTTCCTATACGCTTTCAATACGCTCAAGTGAACAGAAACTCAAGCGTAGCGTAATCGGCCTGTTATACGCTACGCTGACAAGTCTATGACGAATCGCCTTAGTGGACAGTAGGCCTTAGCCATGTACAAACAGAGGTATTTTTTTTATATTTCATGGGTAACTTTTCAACAATCTGTACGAAATTCACGGCCGACATATTTCACACTCAAACACAAATGAAAATTTTGCGTCCTTCTATACGCCCAGCGACAGACATCGTTGACGACACGCTTCATGCCGAACGCATGCAGCGACGAAAACGCGACACTGAAGCATATGTGGATACACGTCTGTTCAAATAGGTGTTGATTGAACTAGCAAGTGGACTGTATTTAATTACATAATTCGGAAAATTCGGATGAATGCGAGTCAAGAAGGCGATAGTGAGTGCGCGCAATGATGAAATCTAACCTCAATGTTTACTGCAATAAACGTGGTGATGCAGCAGAGAGTGTGATTGTAACCGCATTAAATGTATGTCTCTGATCAATTACATTAATGGTTCAGAGTGAGATGTTCCTTTTGGTGAGTGTGACAAGTTGAATGAGATGTACTGTGATTCGCCATGAGGAGAACTGCGTGTGTACCGGAAGAAAAGCACGTGGTCGTACTGTAGGGTACAAAGACCGAAGAGCTGCTGGGTTTTTGCGATTGCAACAAATTGGATGAGATTTGAGTCTAGTTACTAGGTACGAGGCGAATTGCATATGCACCTGATGAAATGCACGATGAGTTTTAGAATAAAGTGAAAAGGACCGATGAAAATGCGCGCGCGCGGTGTTTTTCTCGCAGCCGTTCACACACTCGCAGATCGTGAGAGATCGGGGCCAGTCGTTCGCCGTCGGGACTCGATCGCGCCGGCTGGCGGCTAGGGCTAATATGTTGCCCGGGAGGTGCTGCCTCCATCTGCAGCGTGATGCTTGCATGAATTATTTCCTCAACACACGTCCATTGTTTTATATTGGTCGCTGCATGGAAACGTCCTGTAAGCATCAAATGTCTATGAAGCGTCTTTGACGAGCGCCTTAGTGGATAGTGGGCCTTACACAGAGCGTCGCCGCCGCATGTGTTGCTGAACTGTTTCGCTTCTCTTTTGAAAACGAAAGAGATTTTGTAACTTTTCTTGAAACCATCCTCAGCAGAAAGGTCTGTTCTATATCATACTGTGATTAGATTTTTTTTCTAGACACCTAATGTTTTTGAAATAAATTAATGAATAGCAGCAAAAATTGGTGCATGGTCGGTGTCACTTTCACATTGATCATTATTTAAACATATTTAGATGTCTATAATATAATAAGGAATCACATAATTTTGTTCGGGAGAGTTCAGAGAATGAGTTCGTGTCAAAAGAAACTGAATAACTATTACTGTACAAACACGACACACCTCCAAAATTGAAAATTTGCAATTTAAAAAAAATTGATTTTTTCCGAGACTGAACGTGCTGGGAAGAAACGGATTGCAGATTCGCATTTAGCTTATAAAGATCTATCAGAAACACGTCTGAATGGTTATAAGGTAGGTAAAAGATTAAAATTTGTTGAACAGTGTAATTAATGATTGTTTATAAGTACAGACTGAGGGTGAGCATTTTGAACACCTTCTATGAAGGTGAGTTGTTGGGGATTATTGAAATACAAAAGTGGCTACAACTATAAAACAAGGTCAAGTAGGACACGTGATACGACCTTTTATTGCTGCTTTTGTATCTTCTGCCCACTCCTGAAATGAGTCCCACATATTACGATCCACCCTGTATATTGGGTTGGTGGGAAAGTAATTTCGTTTTTGACATATGTAAAATTGACGGCGTTTTTCCTAATACTTATGTGCAGGCGTGTACCTACTTAAGATAAGTCAACGGAAAAATAAAAGAACAGTCGACACGGAACACGTTAGTTAAGAATCACGCGACACGGTAGCGGTGTATTAACAGTGGCTCCAAAAACGACGATATAATTACACGAGCGGTGCTCGAGCCATGATTTAATACGGCGTAATGTATAATTCCTCTCTCGACGATAAAGGCCCAGCCCCTTTCGCGGGCACCCACGATGCCGTTAGTGTAAAGTGTAGGTGCTTTCGCTAAAGTATCACGCCTATAAAATGAAATTAAACTTCTAGCAAATTTATCGACTATCGTTGCATTATGGATCCTTTCTCCCTGCCTCAGTGGCTGGTTCTTTTGGTTAATCCTTTTGAGCATCGTGGTTCATGTCATTGTTCTCGTGTATTTTCGGTCAAAGTTACGAAATCACATTATTCTTTGTAATTTTCTTGTCTATGCTTAGGCTTCTAGTGCCAAGGTGAAGTCGCATAGATTCTGATGATTGTATTTCTCTTATTTTCCCCTTTCATGTAGTTTCATCAATTTAAGTTAAACGTAAGAATTAGTACAATGCACGTCTCTACTTTGTGACAGTTATTAAGAAAATGTCTAACTTAAATAACACAGCAAAAGAATTGTCAAGAATTTTGTATATTTATCTACAAATATTTATATTTATTATTATTATATTTAATTATAAAATTTATCATAACTCAAAATTTCAGGAGTCTTCAAGCCTGCAGAGAGGGTTATTCCTTTTGTTTCTTCTTATTAAAAGGTAAGTTACATTAATCTAAGATACCCCCTTCTTACAAACTGTACAATTATAAAACTGTAAGTTTCAATATGAAGGACCAATTCATCTTATAACTAGACTGCAGATTGTATGCTTTTATAACATAAAGAGCTTTGTAAAATATAATAAAATACAAAGTTTGCATCAGATGTAATAATTTTTCTATTTTATTTTCACCTGAATAAGATACTTAAAAAAAAGAATTCCTATACTTACTTAGTCTTGTCTTTATGAATTACTTTATAAAATGTGTTCTGCATAAAACTCGTAAAAGTGTACAACCTGCTTGATCATATGCAATTATCTAGGTACTCTGTTTTGTACAGAATGCAAGAAAACTGCAAAGATAATAACTTTTTTCGTAATGAAAAAATCAAAATTCCTGTTAAATTCTTTTCTGTATTTGGGTATATAGTTTCTACACGTAAATATACAAGAAAATAGATGAACATTTGGACCGAAAAATAAGCAAAAAAGAATATTTTGAATGTATTATTTAAATAAATAGATTCTTCTGGAATATAATAATATAGCCGAACTCTTTATAAGAAAACACGCAATATTTTCCTTTAAACCGTTTTCCTACCTCTAATGGTTTCCAAAATTTGCGATTAAATATATTTCACACCCCTATCTTTAAGAGCTGTCTTCACCACTCCGACATGGATGATGGCAGCTAACGAAAAATATGTATCAAACACTTTTTTCATGACAACTATTTCCTAATGAAGTTGCATCCAAATCGGTGATTGTCACTTCGATTTATTGCCTTGTTAGGGGTGTAATAAATTAGTCAGTTAGAAAAAAGTATATGGTTCGTCGGATGTTGAAAGAGCTCCATAATCCGATATTGTTAACATCGATATATTTAGTGTTACGTTCCGAACAAAATTCTGTTTTTTTGTTTCTTTTACTTCGTCTGTGATGCGTTACGATATGCATAGCATTGTGGGAGCTCCTTAATCGAACGCAGTACGGTCTTTGATGTTTAAAAGATAGTTTTTCTCATTGACGACGCGAATAAGTTTGTATATATAACGCATTCTTTTCCTTGAAGTCAACGTGGTCCCACGCTCAGACCGCTTGATTGTAACGAGAGGTAGATATTTACTTCGCTGAACTGCCGAATGTAAACCTCTGGCGTCCGGTCCGATAAAATATCGAGTATCTCGAACTTTCTTCTTCGCGTGCGCAGTGCAGTTCAAAATTATAATCTAAATTGTTATAGAACTCGTAGTTTTGATTTCAAATTCTAAATCATATATCGAACTCCGTTGCTACACATCGGTCAGCCCATTACCTACTATACAATGTATTTCGTATGTAAGAGGAAAGGCATATCTGATTTTAACATTTTCTATCTGTCTCAGCGGATAATGATCATGTTCATGTACCATTTAATTAATTGTGGAAGTTATGCCTTTCTCTCTATTGGCGTCATATAAATTAAGAACATCCCGCCTACAACTTTATCAAAATTCGGCGTACAGTTAGCATATCAAAACGTAGAAAATATTCCCATAGCAGTGACTGAAAGAGTAAAGGAATTAATTCGGAGAAACAAAAGAAAGAAAGATAGAATTAGAGGAGGAAGGATATACACGCTCCTATCACACGTTCAGTTAACGAATCACGGTCCTCGACGCACTAATCTCGCAGCCTGATTCGTCAGGCACCACAGTAATGCAGTGTAAACAAATTCGGACTAGACCCGCTCTGGTCTCTTCCGAGGGTACAACGCTGCGACACTTTTCGATATACAATCGCGAGGTGCGTG